AGACTAGACTATAGACTAGACTATAGACTAGACTATAGACTAGACTATAGACTAGGCTATAGACTAGACTATAGACTAGACTATAGACTACACTAGAGACTAGACTATAGACTAGACTATAGACTAGACTATAGACTAGACTATAGACTAGACTATAGACTAGACTATAGACTAGACTATAGACTAGACTATAGACTAGACTATAGACTAGACTATAGACTAGACTATAGACTAGACTATAGACTAGACTATAGACTAGACTATAGACTAGACTATAGACTAGACTATAAACTAGACTTTAGACTAGACTATAGACTAGACTATAGACTAGACTATAGACTATACTATAGACTATACTATAGACTATACTATAGACTAGACTACATACTTCACTATAGACTATAGAATACTATAGACTGTTCTATAATGAAGACTATAGTCTTGACTAGCGAAGACTTTTTATAGTCAAATTTAATATGTATCGGAAAAAAATAAATTTAATAAAGAAACAATAACAAATTGTGCAAGTTATTTCAAATCACTCACCCTTTTCTTTTGTTGTTCAAAAAACGATAACCTCCCGTATGTAATTCCTTGCATACAATAACAATACATATGTATGTATTTCAGTTTTGCAACACAACAAGTCTTTTTCTTTAATTTTTTTCATTACTTTTCATACCTTTTCTCCTTAGAATTTTTTTCAAACAAAGTTTTTTCTTTTCAAACTCTCCCTCTTCCCCTTTTTATTATCTCTTTCACATCACTTAACAAAACGAATGGCACGACAAAAGAAAACCGGCGGTCGGCCTAATAAAATTGCATTGAATTTTCGACAAATTTTAAAACACTTTTTTAAACTAATAATTTAACACTTCTTTATAGACATTTTGTCATAACGACATTTATAAACAATTTTCAACAAAAATCTTTTAATTCAAACAATTAATTAACGTTTTAGATTAATTTAAACAGGACTATTAGCACCAAACAACCGAACTCTTTAGAAATTTTTAGCAACTAAAGAAGAAGACAAATAACTAAATCAACATAACATGATGAACTGTCATTGTTGTTGTTATTGGTAGTATTCCATTTAAAGAGCAAATAGCAAATAACAACAACTGCAAGAAGTGATGGATGCTTTTTGTTATTGCTCCATTTCATTAGTTTTCTTAATATTCGGTTCGTTTATATAGGGAATGTTAATGGTATCGTTTACATTAAGCTAAAACTGTAATTAATTGTTAATAATAAAATATTTTTGTTGCATATTATTAAACAAATGTTAATTTATATCGGTATATAAAAATATTTATGAAAAAAGTTTTACAAATTAGCGAAAAAAAGTGTTAGAAAATGTAATAAAAATGTGTAATATGCACAAATTTGTAAAGGATATTGTTAGAAGGCTATCGTTGTTTCTTAGATTCCATGGCCATTCGTAAGCAGCCAAGCGAGAAAGAGAGTGTTGTTAAGTGGGAGTGCAAGACGCGGTATATATTAGCTAATCATTAATATGTTGTTGTTATTACATTATTACAATTATTTAAAGAATTAATTGTATTTGAGATAAATGTGAGAAAAAATTAATTAGTGTGTTTCAGCCAGGGATGGAAAATGAGATTTTAGAAAGTACTTTTTTGGCCCTTAGAGTACTCAAATCGATAAACACGTCCATACACCTGTTCATTAGTCTCCCCAGGACTTGCCTCTGAAAGAATCTTAGGAATACCTCTCAATCGATACGTATTAATGTACTGTATCTGTCTGTTTATCTATCTATCTATCTATCTATCTATCTATCTATCTATCTATCTATCTATCTATCTATCTATCTATCTATCTATCTATCTATCTATCTATCTATCTATCTATCTATCTATCTATCTATCTATCTATCTATCTATCTATCTATCTATCTATCTATCTATCTATCTATCTATCTATCTATCTATCTATCTATCTATCTATCTATCTATCTATCTATCTATCTATCTATCTATCTATCTATCTATCTATCTATCTATCTATCTATATATCAAAAAATCATATCATAGACAGATGATGACATGATTTTTTTGGCATCAAGTTTTCAATCGCTGGTAGGTTTGGGAAGTATTCTTAGAAAAAAGTGATCCGAGGGACAGACTATTGTCTGTATATAGTATAAGAAGATAAATTACTCCATAGGCTTGTCGAAAAAGTAGTCCAAAGACTCAAAAATTCTTATATTTTCATTTTTTTTAAACATCACACCAACTCGTTACACTATTTGTCGGCTTCAGTCGTTTCAAAAAAGCAAATGCATAGAAATTCTTAAACATTATTATTTGCAATATGATCATCTATCTGATCATTGATAATAAATACTAGGCAAAAACTAAAATTATAAATGCTTAAACTCAAACTCACTGGTATTACACGTCAAAACCCATATACAATATTAGCAACAAAACTTGTATGCCAAAGCTATTAACTTTTTGCTGATTCTAAGAAGTTCTCTTTTTGCCAGCATTGTTGCATTTGCAATAAATTGAAAAATGTACGATCATATTCATTCTGCCATCATACAAAACGTCATCGTTTAAAGGCAGTAACTATTGCAACTTCTACTAAAACAACAATGACGTGATCATCAGCAATTAATTCAAGACGAGTATTTAAAGATTGTGTATTGAAGTTTTTGTTTTTTTCTTTATTAAATATCTGACTGACTCTAGTTTATTGTAATTACATGTTGTGATGATTATGACGATCGCTTATAGCACTACTGTTTGTCACGATCGGCTACATACTATTCTATTGATGAGTACGTGTTTCTTTTATGCTTGTCGTTTTTTCCCTGTAAAGATTGGGGATCTTTTTGTATAGAGTTGAACTGAATGATCTCAATACATGCAAACCAGTAATTACGAATTATTTGTGTTATGACACCTTTTAGTATTTCATGTTAAACGATGATCATTTTATGGTTATTATAGACAGTCATAATGACATCATTTACAGTAATAAAAGACGAATAAATTACATGAATAATCATAGTTGATGAAGTGTTGATGTCATTAGAATTATAGACATGTATGTAGGTAATTGATTTTAATAACTGATCTGTGTGCAGAGTTTCAAGTTTTGCAATTTCCTAAGCAAGAAGATTAGTTAGAGCCAAGACATGGTTAGTTTAAACTTATAAGAATTCTCAATGTTTGAAAGATATAATAAAAAAGGTCCTTCGAACCCGTTGTTAAAATATTTAAGATAAATCATAAGAGAAAACACGATTAAAGTCCTAAATTCTTTAAAATCTTTTTAAAACAAATTCTAATTCTAAAGAGAATTGAAAAATTTTGTCAGGCCCTTTTAACTTAACTTTATTTAAGGTTATATAGTAATATCATTTGAATTCTAACAAGATTACTATCAAATAACATCTGTTTATTTTTAACATAAAGTTAAATAATTATAAATTACTTAAATTCTTAAACAAAGAAAAACCTCAAATATATTTCACATTACATTGACCTTTTTTCAATTATTATGGCAAAATCTATTTGCATTGCATGCAATTTAGAAATTACGTCAAATAAACGAGAATACGAAAACAGAAAAGAGTGAACAAAAATTTGCTCACTTTTGACTGATTGACATTTTGGCATTCGAAATATTGCAACTTAAAGTCTAACAAAACAATTTTAATTGCAAATCGGTGGTAAGAATTTGAAAACGAACATTTCCGGTATTTCCTAAATAGAATACAAGTATGCATGTATAGTCGGGTAGGGCCGACCTTATGATACCCTACTCTAGTGAGTATATTAAAAAAAACCTAATGTAATCCGAACATATGGGTGTCCCGTAAACTACTTTTTGATAGAAATATATACCTCTAATACTATGTGTATTAATGTACTAAATATGAGAAAAAAGGGCCTCAGTTCTCTACTATCGCTCGAAAATTTTGATCTCAGTACAATATGTTGGGAATAATGGTTCTATATAATACTGGACAATGCCCATTTTGTTCTTAATTCCAACATATTTTAAACAAATTGTTAATAAAAAAATCTTTTTATAAAAGAGAATCTATGTATATGACCTACAATTATATCTAAAGCCCCATTCGGGTGGTACGATTGTATGGTGTCTCGGTGAATTATTGGACCGTTCTCAACCATTTCCAATAGGCTTTGTCCCTGAGAAAAGCATGGGCCAAATTTAATTTAATTATCTTTAAAATTCCGACCAGTATCGTGCGAACAGGGTTTACATGAACACACTGACGTTTGGACGGACTAGGCTTTGTCCCTGTGAAAAGTATGGGCCAAATTTCATGAAATTATCTTTAAAATCGCACAAGGTTAACATGGCTATATTGACATATGGACGGAAGAAAAGACAGGCCGACATAGTATAATTGATTTAGAAACTGAATCTGGGCCGTTTGTTACATTTTAAGTTGGGCTCAATATTTTTAAGTGTTACAAACATCAGAGCAAACGAACAATGCCGGTGTCGGGTATAATTAGTTTCATACTTTTTCAATTTCTTTTATTTATTTACAAAAATGGATTCATACTCGTCGCACTATTCTTTGAATAAAAAATTTTTTTTGGATTTTCTGCATTTAGACAAGTGTATGCGGAGAAGTATCTATCCGATTATTTGTTTAACTCATACGATATAAAATTTCTTTCACACATTTTTTTCCTGATGCTTATAGAACAATATTTTTGCATTTGTTTGCAATTCAACAGAAAACGATCAATAACTAGAAAATTAAAATAAATATTTTTTCAACTGTCTGCTAAATTGAAAATAAAAATAATTTATTTATGTTTTTGCATGAATTTGTTACCGATTGTTGATATAAAACGTATGTTTTCGCTTAAAACAAATATATAAAAGTGAAGGAAATTTTTAATAATATAGTAAAAATATCCGCCTTATACAATTGCATTTAGTTCGACAGTAAAAAAAATAAACCTTTCCTTTCTTTACAGCCTTATAATCGAACCCAATTTGAGAAAGTCGCTAAACAATGGCAGTGTTGCCATACATATAAAACGAGATGAACGTGTTGCCAGCTTTGAACCCATTGTCTTAGATGTTAATAATGTTACCATTTCTAATGTACGTGTTATAAGAGCTTTGAATCAGACCAGTTTGGAAGAAATTGAATTGGATTTTGATAGCGAGTATGGTTTGGATAATAGTACATTTGTGGTGACTTTGACAAAAGCATTGGCCGAGGAGAAAGACTTAAAATTGGTATTAAGCATGGACTTTGTAAGTCAAATTACCGATACACTACAGGGAGTTTACAAGACTAGTTATGTAAATATCGATACCGGAAAACAAGAGTAAGTTTTTTTTCTTAAATTGTTAAAGAAATTAAAACTGATTAGATTTTCTTACAGATGGATGATTAGCACCCAATTTTCTCCCATAGATGCCCGCAGAGCTTTTCCTTGCTTCGATCGTCCTGATATGAAAGCCAACTTTACCGTCAGTATTATAAGACCCACTAGAACTTCTATGGCTTTGTCCAATATGCCCGTTTATCACAGCTCGTAAGTTTACTTTTTCGCTTGTAATTATACTCTTAATTAAATTTATGCTCTTTTTTGTGCAGCATCCAACGTCCCGGTTTTACTCGTGATGATTTCATGACCACACCCAAAATGCCTACCTACCTCTTAGCTTTTATTGTATCCAATTTAGTGAAGTCACACTTTTCGGATGTGGATGCCAATTTAGTGCCTCGTGTAGAAATCTGGACTAGACCGGAAAATAAGGATATGACCCGTTATGCTTATTACTTGGTGCGCAAATTTTTGCCCTATTATGAGGGTTATTTTGGTATTAAAAATCGTTTACCTAAAATCGATTTAGTTTCGGTGCCTGATTTTGGTTTTGGTGCCATGGAAAATTGGGGTCTAATAACTTTCAGGTATTTTCTAAATAACAACGAAAATAATTTAAAATAAATAATAATTTTTCTCTCTTCCTAATTTACAGAGATTCTGCTCTTTTGGTGCCAGAAGATTTAGAGAAGGCCTCTTCTTCCGAACACATGGAATATGTGGCTCAAATAGTGGCCCATGAATTGGCTCATCAATGGTTTGGCAATTTGGTTACCCCTAAATGGTGGAATGATTTATGGCTTAAGGAGGGTTTCGCCTGCTATATGAGTTATATTGCCCTGAATAGTGTTCATCCTGAATTTGAAATTATGGATACTTTCACCGTATTTGAATTCAAAGAGTCCATGCAACATGATTCCGATAACAGTTCTCATGCCATTTCATTTGATGTTAAATCTACCAATGATATCAGAAGGATATTTGATCCCATTACGTATTCCAAGAGTACCATTTTATTGAGAATGTTGAACTCTATAGTGGGCAATGAAGCCTTTAGAGATGCTACCCAAGATCTATTGAAATCTTTTACCTATGAAAATGCTGATCGTAATGATTTATGGGAATATATGACCAAACAGGGCCATTTGAAGAAAACCTTACCCGATGATATGGATATTAAGAGCATTATGGATACTTGGATCTCTAAACCCGGTTATCCTGTAGTGACAGTGGAGAGAAGAGATGCCGATTTGATTGTTACGCAGGAACGTTATCTCTTACCCTCTAAGAATATGTCCGATGATAGTAAATGGATTGTTCCAATTACCTATGAAACTGATGAACTCCATAAAGGCGACAGTATACCCACCCATTGGCTTATGGATAATGGCCATGAATTGGTCATTACAGATGCCTTTACTTCCGATAATAATTCTGAAAATGTGGTCTATTTGAATTTGAATAGACAGGGCTACTATAGAGTAAATTACGATATGACTTCTTGGTTGGCTTTGAAAAAGAAATTCTCATCTTTGCCACGTGTTACTAGAGCTCAACTTTTAGACGATTCTTTACATTTGTCTCAGGCGGAATATTTGTCTTACGATATACCATTGACCTTCTTAATGGAAATTTTCACTGCCACCGATGATGAACTCTTGTGGTCGGCCGCTCAACAGGGTTTGAATTATTTGATTCATATGTTGAATCGTGAGCCCGCCTATGAGACATTTAGGGTAAGTTTGGAAAGGTGTTGGGGGAAAATATATGTTTCTTATTATTATTATTGTTTGTGTTTTGCAGGCTTTTATGAAATTTTTGGTTAGACCTGCCTTTGATCGTTACGGTTTACAGGAGCCTGATAATGAGAGTCATATTCAATTGCAACATCGTGCTTTGGTCGCTAGATTGGCTTGTAAATTCAAATATGATCGTTGCTATAATGCTGCTCATATTAAGTACAGAGAATGGATGGCTGATCCTAAATCAAATCCGTAAGTATTTTTATATATTTTTATCTTGGAAGTATTTTTTAGAGTGTCTGACTCTGCGAATACTTCAGAAATTTTGATCTTAGTGTAATAATGAAGGGTGTATCAAAATTTCCTTGAAAAAATCAAGTAAAACTTCACTTACCCGGTAATAACTTAAGTAATATTGAAGCAAAGTGGAAGTACTTACTTTTTGCTTATGTTTTGTTCGACGAGGTGTAAAACAAAAGAAAACTGGTTTATGGTTCGAACCACTAAATTCTTGCTTTATAGACTTACGATCTAGACAATTGGCTAAAAATCCTATTCAACAAAACGAAATACATTACTGTTATTGATAACGAGCACTCATTACTAAGTAATATATGAAATAACTACATAACTCATTAACTGAATTTGAAATTGTTTTTGTTGGAAATGTAATTTCTGGTTTAGAAATTTAACGGGGGTTTCAAAGATTAACATTTAATATGAATCAGTCTGTAAACTAGAGGTACTAAGAATTCACCTTAAACTGAAACTAATTATGAATCACTCTGTGAACTAAAGGTACTAAACAAATTCACCAATTTACAGTTTTCACCTCAAGCTATAAACATAAACTTAGAAATATTCACCATTAATTTGCTGAATTTCTGATTTCCACCACTTTTAAGAAAAACAATACTTGTCGCAAGGCTAGTATATGCCCGGCTAGCTCAGTCGGTAGAGCATGAGACTCTTAATCTCAGGGTCGTGGGTTCGAGCCCCACGTTGGGCGCAGTTAATTTTTTTGATATTTTTTTAAACTAAAATATTTTTATTTATTTTTTAGTATTACCCCCAATATGAAACCCACAATTTATTGCACTGCTTTGGCTGAGGGTTCATTCCAAGAATGGTATTTTGCCTATAAACAATACAAACGTACTACAAGTGCCTCCGAAAAGGAACAGATACTCTCATCATTGGGTTGCACCACCAAGCCTTGGTTGTTGTCCAAGTAAGTAAATTAAAAAATATTATTTAAGAAAACAAAAAAAAGAAAGGTTCTACCGAGATTTGAACTCGGATCGCTGGATTCAAAGTCCAGAGTGCTAACCATTACACCATAGAACCGCATGTCTGACAGGCAGCCAAAATATAGTTTCATAATTAACCCTCTAATGTTTGTGTTCTTAACAATTTTTTACAGATATTTAAATATGACCATTAACCCTACATCGGGCATTTTAAAACAAGATGGAGCACGAGCTTTCAAGGCGGTGGCAGAAAATCCCATAGGTTTTGAAATAGCTTTGGATTTCTTGCAAACGAATATTAAAGACATAGCAGAATAGTAAGTTTCAAAATTAAACTTTAACAGATTTAACAAATTTTTATAATTTTTTTTTTGTAACTTTTCCTGTAGTTTCGGCGATGGCTTTTCTACTTTAAGCTCTATGATCAAATCGATTACCACCTATATGAGTAAAGACTATCACAAAGAACAATTGGAACGTTTTAGAGATAAATCTCAAAAATTGGGCTTAAAATCGGTGGTTACTGCCATAGATTTAGCCATGGAACAAGTAAATAATAACATTTACTGGCGCAATCGTTCGTATTATAGTCTAAAGGGCTTTTTAGAGGATATAGTAAGAGAATTCCAAATTAATATATTCTAAGTCGGGGACTATGAAATAATATTGTAAAAGAATGTTAAGTAAAACGATCTTTTTATTATAAGTTTTCAAAATTTTCAAAATGTTTGCAAAATTCATAAGAAATTCAATCTCAAAAAAAGTGATTTCAACTAATTCCTAAAATATTTTTATTCCTTTTTAGGAATTATGTGGCCTTATCACAAAATTTTTATTTATTTTGCAAACAAAGTGATATAATTTTAGTTTATTTTAACAAATTTTAGTATTGAGCTTTTAAGCTAAATATTTTTTTAAAGTTTTAATCATTTATTAATATTTTTTTTATAAATTATTTATTTTCGTTTTAATTTTATTACTTTTCGTCATTATCATATTTTTTTTTTTTGTTTAATTTTATATTTTAAGTATTGTTCCTATATTAAAAAAAATAACCTTAATATTAAGAACTTGAAACAAAAAGAAGATAAAAATGTCTGTCATTCCTTCGTTTACAAATTTATCTAAAAGAAAATTTGTTCGCTGGCAAGGAACACAACAATCACATGCAACCAACTAAACAATACACAGAATGAAATGCTGCTGATGTAAAATGTTAATAGTTTTAAGTAAAATTTAATAAAAATAAAACAAAAATTTCTTTTGAAATTTTTCTTAAAAAAAAAAAATATAACAACCAAAAATATAAACTACTTAAATACATATTCAAGAAATCAATACTAACTGCCGACAACTATTAAGTAAATAAATTTATAATTAATAAAACAAAACAAAACTTTAAATAAATTATAAGAATATTTCATGTCAAATAAGTTAAAAATTAAATTAAACATAAATTACACTACATTTAAGCACAATTGCCTAAAAAAACTTTTTTTTTAAATTGAAATTTTAGCTTTTTCTATTAAATTTCTTTTGTAAATATTATCTTATATGTTCGGCTTAATATTTATAATATTTTAATAAAATTAAAATTTACAGAAATAGCGTAACGAAAGGCAGCCTTATGTTAAAATACGTGAAAACTATAGAAATTAATAAATTAATAAATAAAAAACTGAGTGTCCTTAAATGAAATTTCACCAGACAGCAACTTGTCTTAATGATGAATATTAGTTTTAAAACTAAAAATGAACGAGCTACACAGAGATGAATATTATTTTTTAAAACTTTATCGCTAGAGTATAAAATTAAGCAAATGCCTCATTTTTTATTTGTCAGTTTTTTTTTCTAGCTTTTATGCACTTTTATGTTTAATACAAATATATTAATAATACATACATACATTAATTAAGTCAATCATACATATATTATTTTTACAACCATAAACAACAAAAATAAGAATTACTCATAAAACCTTTGTAACATTATATTATAAATTTGAATATTAAAAAAAAATAAGCGTAATTATTACATTATTAAATGTTTTTAATTGTATCATGTACTTGAAGTAGTAGTTGAGAAAAAATTTTATTTAAATAAAAATTAAAAAAAAAAAAAATAAAAATTGGAAACGAAATAATGTGTTTTATTTAAAAAACCACATTTAAACTTAAAACTATCGCAAGCAGTCCTAGGTGGGAACTTTTATGCCCCTATGTTTCGTTTTATGTAAATTTTTTAAAGAAAATTCATAAAGTAATACTCAAATTAGCACTTTTTTCAGAAATTTTTCATATCGTAAAAAAGCGCGGTACATCCACGACATTTTCGACACTTTTTCTAACTTAAAACTTTTGATATATGGTTTATATAGTAATCAATAGACCATTCCATAGTCAAGTACATAGTCTCGTCTAGCCCATAATCTAACCTAAAGTTTAGTCGATAGTCTAATCTAAAGTCTAGTCGATAGTCTACTCGATTGTATAGTCGATAGTCTAGCTTATAGTCTAGTTTATATTCTAGTTTATAGTCTAGTTTGTAGTATAGTTTATAGTCTAGTTAATAGTCTAGTTTACATTCTAGTTTATGGTCCAGTTTATAGTCTAGTTTAATCCAGTTTATAGTCTAGTCTATAGTCTAGTCTATAGTCTAGTCTATAGTCTAGTCTATAGTCTAGTCTATAGTCTAGTCTATAGTCTAGTCTATAGTCTAGTCTATAGTCTAGTCTATAGTCTAGTCTATAGACTAGTCTATAGTCTAGTTTATAGTCTAGTCTATAGTCTAGTCTATAGTCTAGTCTATAGTCTAGTCTATAGTATAGTCTATAGTCTAGTCCATAGTCTAGTCTATAGTCTAGTTTATAGTCTAGTCTATAGTCTAGTCTATAGTCTAGTCTATAGTCTAGTCTATAGTATAGTCTATAGTCTAGTCCATAGTCTAGTCTATAGTCTAGTCTATAGTCTAGTCTATAGTCTAGTCTATAGTCTAGTCTATAGTCTAGTCTATAGTCTAGTCTATAGTCTAGTCTATAGTCTAGTCTATAGTCTAGTCTATAGTCTAGTCTATAGTCTAGTCTAGTCTAGTCTATAGTCTAGTCTATAGTCTAGTCTATAGTCTAGTCTATAGTCTAGTCTAGTCTATAGTCTAGTCTATAGTCTAGTCTATAGTCTAGTCTATAGTCTAGTCTATAGTCTAGTCTATAGTCTAGTCTATAGTCTAGTCTATAGTCTAGTCTATAGTCTAGTCTATAGTCTAGTCTATAGTCTAGTCTATAGTCTAGTCTATAGTCTAGTCTATAGTCTAGTCTATAGTCTAGTCTATAGTCTAGTCTATAGTCTAGTCTATAGTCTAGTCTATAGTCTAGTCTATAGTCTAGTCTATAGTCTAGTCTATAGTCTAGTCTATAGTCTAGTCTATAGTCTAGTCTATAGTCTAGTCTATAGTCTAGTCTATAGTCTAGTCTATAGTCTAGTCTACTAGTCTAGTCTAGTCTAGTCTATAGTCTAGTCTATAGTCTAGTCTATAGTCTAGTCTATAGTCTAGTCTATAGTCTAGTCTATAGTCTAGTCTATAGTCTAGTCTATAGTCTAGTCTATAGTCTAGTCTATAGTCTAGTCATAGTCTAGTCTATAGTCTAGTCTATAGTCTAGTCTATAGTCTAGTCTATAGTCTAGTCTATAGTTAGTCTATAGTCTAGGTCTATAGTCTAGTCTATAGTCTAGTCTATAGTCTAGTCTATAGTCTAGTCTATAGTCTAGTCTATAGTCTAGTCTATAGTCTAGTCTATAGTCTAGTCTATAGTCTAGTCTATAGTCTAGTCTATAGTCTAGTCTATAGTCTAGTCTATAGTCTAGTCTATAGTCTAGTCTATAGTCTAGTCTATAGTCTAGTCTATAGTCTAGTCTATAGTCTAGTCTATAGTCTAGTCTATAGTCTAGTCTATAGTCTAGTCTATAGTCTAGTCTATAGTCTAGTCTATAGTTAGTCTATAGTCTAGTCTATAGTCTAGTCTATAGTCTAGCTATAGTCTAGTCTATAGTCTAGTCTATAGTCTAGTCTATAGTCTAGTCTATAGTCTAGTCTATAGTCTAGTCTATAGTCTAGTCTATAGTCTAGTCTATAGTCTAGTCTATAGTCTAGTCTATAGTCTAGTCTATAGTCTAGTCTATAGTCTAGTCTAGTCTATAGTCTAGTCTATAGTCTAGTCTATAGTCTAGTCTATAGTCTAGTCTATAGTCTAGTCTATAGTCTAGTCTATAGTCTATAGTCTAGTCTATAGTCTAGTCTATAGTCTAGTCTATAGTCTAGTCTATAGTCTAGTCTATAGTCTAGTCTATAGTCTAGTCTATAGTCTAGTCTATAGACTAGTCTATAGTCTAGTTTATAGTCTAGTCTATAGTCTAGTCAAATTTTTGCAGCTCTAAGACCCCTATATAATACCACAAATCGCTTAAAATAGAAAATTTTCGGGAATTTTCTTGAAATATTGGTCCCAGGTCCATTCTAGGTCCATTTTTGGATTCAGCATTGAATTTTACCAGAAAGGTGAATTTGCAGCTAGATTCGGCCAGTTGTTCCCGAGTTTGAAGCAAAAATAAAATCAGAAATTTTGATGAATGTTGGACGTACATACATAGGTCCCATACTACAGCAAAATTTAAAATTAATTTTTTTGTATAAAGCCCTTAAAGGAAATTTTGTAAGCTTTCTTCTGACCAAAAAATGGGAGTTTTTTGAAAAAAAAATTAAAAGAAAAATAAAAAAATAGAAAAAAAAAAAAAAATAAAAAACTAAAATTTAGGAAATAATAAAGAAACTGAACTGCTTTGGACAAGTTTTGCTAGTACCAATAGGTGAAAAGTTAAGCTCATTTGAATAAAACCCAGCATGACCAAAATGTCCCCCCATCTAACTCCGACAGTTCTTGACCGATAGAGCTGAAAATTTGTGTCTGGCCTACTTATCCAATAGTGCTAACCGTGTTGCAAATTTCATCTAGAGAATACATCGATTTTAAAAGTTGGGTCACTTGGGATGAAATTTACCATATTTACAAAAGTTTTAATAACTTTATTAGTTGAAATGTAATTTTTAAACTGTTTAGTGAGAAAAATATTGAAATATAACTTTTGTCAAAAGTCTGATATAGCCCGGCTAGCTCAGTCGGTAGAGCATGAGACTCTTAATCTCAGGGTCGTGGGTTCGAGCCCCACGTTGGGCGAGTTATTTTTTTAAGCTTTAAACTTTTTTTAACACATTTTAAAACAAGTAAGAAAGTGTAGTTGGGCATGAAAAGTAAAGAAGGTTAAATTATTATTATTTTAAAGACGACAGATTGGACTAGCAGATGATATCATAACTAATTTTATTTATAAAGTTGTTTCCTCGCACTGTTATATAGTGTCAAATAGGGGCTTATTCAAACCTTTTGGCAATCTGCTCAGTCCATTATTAAAGTATTCTCCGGGTTCAAAATGTCTTGTTATTTTGCGGAAAAATCACGTGTTATGACACCATGTCTTTTAAATGAACTGCCTTATCATGCTAACACATCATTATCTGTTTGTTGTGTGTTAGTGGTGAACTTTCTGTGGTGGTGATAAGTGTTGGTTTTTACTCTGTGGTGCTTGTCTAGACTAGGTTTTGTTAAGACATATACATATAAGAGGTGAATAGAGTGGTGAGTTTAAAAATTGGTGGAAATTGAAAAAATAAATTCCATTTTGTAACTAATGAGCGGATCCGATTGATGTTAATGAAATTTAACAATTTTGGGCATAGAACTAATAAAACCGTTTCAAGATTTCAGATGTACCCAGTTTACAGCTAAAAAACCAGGTATCAAATTTGTAAAATTTAAAATTTTCGTTTCAGCCGACTTTGTTCTAATAATTTTATTATTTTTTTTAAATAAAATAAAATATAAAAATATATAGAAATTAGTTTGAGATTATTTGATTGCCTCCTTTCGATGATGCGGACTTGTGTGATGTGGTGTGCGCGAGAATGCCAACTGCCCGGCTAGCTCAGTCGGTAGAGCATGAGACTCTTAATCTCAGGGTCGTGGGTTCGAGCCCCACGTTGGGCGAAATAGCTTTTTTTGGTAAAACTACATGTCAAAAGTTTCAAATAAAATTAAAAATATTATAGTGTATATACAAAATGTTATAAAACTTACTGAGAATACGGATGGAAAATTGAATATCGTATAATTTTTAAAATTTTTTGAAAAATTTCAAAACGATTGGATTTTTTCGTTTTATTTGAGTTTTATTATTATTTAAACAAAGATAAAAATAAAAACAGAAACAAATTTCAAATAAAAACAGAAACGAAATGAAAAGAAAAATTTACGTTTTTTCTTTGAATTTTTTCAAATTGAAGTTTCATTTTATTTCAAATCTGATAGTGCAAAACAAAATATATTTTCTATTTGATTTTTTTTGATAATTACCATTTGTTTTGTTTTGGCAGTTAGAAATAAAAATCTAACGACTTCTCTCATAGTGTGTAGGCAGCTTAACTAAAGCTAACAAATTATTTTAAAATATTGAAATTTATTTAAAAATATTTAAATTAAAATATAATAAAAAATATTTTCTTTCAAATTGTAATAAGATTCATTAAGAAGATTTTGTTTGTACACACATCAACTACTTCGATATTTTCCTAGTGCGCTCATTTTATCAGGAATCTAACTTCACAAATTTTTGAATTCCTGGAGCGAGAAGAAAGAGATAGATGGATGATCATCGTCGGGGGTCCTGAACACGACGATTAGGTTCTATTTCCACTAAGACTTTCTTACCCAAAAAGAGAGACATTTGGGAGTTCTCCAGGTTCTACCGAGATTTGAACTCGGATCGCTGGATTCAAAGTCCAGAGTGCTAACCATTACACCATAGAACCGCTTGATGGACTCGAACAAAATAATGCAAAATAAAATTGAAATTACACCAAGAAGAAATTGAAATTTCGGATATAGTATGGGCAACATACAAATTTTAAAACGAAAATCGGTTCAGATTAGGCCTAAGCAAAAATGTGTTCAGACATTTTTCCTGGAAATTTTTATTAAGATTTTTTAATAAAATAAAAAAGTGAAAAAAAAACCTATTGAAGGTTCTACCGAGATTTGAACTCGGATCGCTGGATTCAAAGTCCAGAGTGCTAACCATTACACCATAGAACCGGTTAACGTATAAATGTCAAAGTCGTAATTTAAAAAACTATTTATATATACAAGGGGAATGTGCAGAAGTAAAAAAATTTCAAGGTTAGTGAAAAAGGGTGTAATATAGTCAACAAGTATTGTGTAAGGTGGGCGATGTATTTGTAGTAAATGGCATATAGTATCTATGGGATACAGAGCTGCAATTTTCAACCTATTAAACTCACTGAAAAGTTACAGAATATTTTAGCACTATAAAAATGTAACCAGATATGGAGAAAATGGTTGTGAAGAGAATATGACCCCAATATTTTATTATAATTTATTATGTATGTTGTCTCTTGTGTATTTGTCTCTTTTATTTCAAGTACCATTGATCTGAGTCATTTCAATCAATGTCTATATAAAATTAGTTTAAATTGTTTTATTAAACGTAAATTAAATAAAAAAAATGATGATATATGAACTTTTGTAATTAAATGAAAAAAAAAATGTGGTTTTCAAAAGCACATTTACACACATACAAGTACATATATTTTTGCAAGGGGTCCATGAATCTAAAAAAAATGGGAAGCTTCTGCGAAAAAAAAAATTGTTTATAATAAAAAAGATGAATTTTTGGTATTTGACCAGGTTCTACCGAGATTTGAACTCGGATCGCTGGATTCAAAGTCCAGAGTGCTAACCATTACACCATAGAACCACTTAAAAAACCGATGGCAAAAATAAAAATTGCACTTGGTGGGTTTTTTTTTAATTAAAAAAAAGATCACTTTAGGGGTCAAGGTAAAATTTTAATAAAAATAATTTTTTATTAATAAACTATAAAAAATGCATACTACAGAAAATATTTCTCCCGATTTTAATAACTTATCAATATTTTGTCATCAGGAAATGTTTATAAAATTTATACATATAACTAAAGGGGCCAGAGTGATTGGCCAGTAATTTTCGGTTAATACGCTTAAAAAGAGTTGGTCAAACTCCTGAGGAGAGGTTTTCATAACTTGTATACCTTATATACATATACTACTATAGTGAGTAATGTTTGTACGCTAATTTTTGGATTCGATTAAGCCATGTCCATCTATCCATTGTCTATCCATGTTAACCTTGTAATAAAAGTACAGGTCGCATTTTTTAAGATAATTCGATACGTTATATACACAACACCTTTAGCCCAAATACGGTTTAAATCGATTCATTATTATACCTAGTCGCCGTATTACGGGACCCAAATAATAGCGCTTTGGATCTATTAATTATGTTGAATATACATATGTATGTATCTTTACCAATATTAAGTCCGTGATGATAGCTTCATAATTGATAGCTTGATAATTGAATATAGCCCCCATACATAAAACCCTTCCAGAAATGCTTTTAACCATATAATTGACTTATAATCGGCTCATCATTCCACCTTACCCCCATACAATGGGACTCACCCAATACTCAGCTAGGTTTTATAATCTTACTGACGATTTTGATTGTGATGAGCCCATAATGAAATATATCGCCCCTTTCAGAAAATCGGTTACTTGTGAATAAATATGTTATGAAGACAAAATCCAAAAATTACTCAAAATCGAAAAAAGGTCCGGAGATTATAGTTCAAAGTAAAAAGTTCCCTCTGTGTATTTACACTTTCCAAGTTTACTTGGAAAGTGTAAATACATTGTCAAAGTTACACATACATTGTCAAAGTTATACATACGTACGACAACACTATGTAATGTTGACAACGCAACGTTTTCAACATTGCAACAATTCGTTGTCGAAATCTAAATTTAATACACATCCGTTGTCTAAATGTTAACAAACGTGGTAAGATTGGCAACGGATTGTTTGTCAATAGTGAGTATTACATAGTGTTGTCGTACGTATGTATATACTTTGGCAACAGATGTTATTGAAAAATTATATACGGTTTGGTGTCAATTTGGTACCAGGTGTGTATATTTCTTTTTCCTTTGTGTACAGATTGATGATGAGACCTCAACAAACAGTACTGCAAATAAGATCGAATAAACATATCCATCGCTGTGTATACTAGACTCATAATCTAATTGTCTACTAAGTGTTTCTGTTTATAACTGATATCGTAGATAAACTATTCGACACTTTGTTGCACTTGAATATCTGATTAATTCATTTTAAATGAACTAGACACGTTTTTAATAAAAAGGCAATTAAGGCTTGTTTAACAAATTATCGTTAGTTAGTAGGGGTAAATGACCTTCAATATTACATTATTAGAATAGATTACATTATTATAATACATAGATCTTTCTGAGAATTGTTTAATCAGTTTAACAATTTAATATAACAAAAAAAAAAAAATTATAGAATCATTTATATTAATATTGTGAGAGAAAGAAAATGTGTTGAGAATATTTACAAGTCATGTAAGATTAACTAAATATTAGCTGAAAGATTACAGCAGTATCTTTCGTATGGAGCTTTTCTGAGCTATTTAATAGTTTGATTGCGAAAGAAATTATACTTTTAAATATATGTATGTTTTCCTAAATAATTAATTCAACCCCTGGTAACCCTTAACAACCTAACAATTTAATAAAATTGTTAAAAATAAATTTTTATTTAAAAAATAAAACACATTTTAAATAATTTAATTTATAAATTGAAACAAACATAAAAATGGAAACTAAGACCAAAAAATCGCTTTTAGAACGTTATGGAATACCCATACATCATTTAGATTTTCAATATATAAAAGAGTGTAACGATGGTCGGGAAATGGAAAAAATTGTGCATATATTAAGATCCAATGAAGAGGGTTATTTTCCCGATTTGACTAAATGTGCGGAAGACAAACTAAAGGAACTGAAACCGCAAAGCAGATTGTTCAGAGTAGAGGAAAAAATAAAGGGTCGAGAAGCTTTAAACCCAAATGAAATAAAACCCATTTATGTAAGCTCATAAATTTTCTTAATTGAATGAACAAAAAAATATAAAAATTTTTCAAATCTCAGGACTGGAATCAAGATATAAAAAGTACCGATAAACAGCTATTAAAACTGGTAAAAGAAAACGATACAAACCCAGCACAACTTCCTCCCATACGCAAAGGAGGTCGTATACTACAAACAAAAAACAAAGTAGAGACCTCCAAATCGGGGGTTTCCAACAAAGAGTCGCAAAGAATTAAATCCACGGATTACAACAAATGGGACAAATATGATGCTGAAGAGGAAATATTGCGCCTAGATTTAGCCGAGGAACGTGAGCAGGAAGAATTGGAACGTAAAAATCGTTTAAATATGGAAAAATGTTTAAAGAAACCTTGCTTAACCATAACCGAAATAACTGATGAAGAACCTTTAGAAAAATGGTCTAATTTAACGGATATAGAAAAAGAAAAGTTATCGGAAGAGTAAGTGGTTTTTGAAAGGGGATGGAGAGTAATATAATATTATATGATTTTGTGTTTTTTTAAGATACCGTTTAAGAGGCAATGAATATTTTCGCTCTAAGGAATATGACAATGCTTTAGAAGAGTATTCGCGAGCTATAGAGATTTGTCCTCGGAAAGCGGTGGCAGCTTACAATAATCGTGCTTTGACTTGTAGGTCTCTTGCGGTGTTGCCAATTTGACTTTTTCCAGTTAAATCTGATGTTTTTGAAATTGCGGGGAAATTTTGAGATCTTAAAACACCGTCTATAGTCCAGTCAATAAACTGGCCTACAGTCTAGTCTATAGTCTAGTCTATAGTCTAGTCTATAGTCTAGTCTATAGTCTAGTCTATAGTCTAGTCTATAGTCTAGTCTATAGTCTAGTCTATAGTCTAGTCTATAGTCTAGTCTATAGTCTAGTCTATAGTCTAGTCTATAGTCTAGTCTATAGTCTAGTCTATAGTCTAGTCTATAGTCTAGTCTATAGTCTAGTCTATAGTCTAGTCTATAGTCTAGTCTATAGTCTAGTCTATAGTCTAGTCTATAGTCTAGTCTATAGTCTAGTCTATAGTCTAGTCTATAGTCTAGTCTATAGTCTAGTATATAGTCTAGTCTATAGTCTAGTCTATAGTCTAGTCTATAGTCTAGTCTATAGTGTAATCTATAGTCTAGTCTATAGTCTAGTCTATAGTCTAGTCTATAGTCTAATCTATAGTCTAATCTATATTCTAGTCTATAGTCTAGTCTATAGTCTAATCTATAGTCTAATCTATAGTCTAATCTATATTCTAGTCTATAGTCTAATCTATAGTCTAATCTATAGTCTAATCTATATTCTAGTCTATAGTCTAGAGTCTAGTCTATAGTCTAGTCTATAGTCTAGCCTATGGTGTAGTCTATAGTCTAGTCTATAGTCTAGTCTATAGTCTAGTCGATAGTCTAGTCTATAGTCTAGTCTACAGTCTAGTCTATAGTCTAGTCTACAGTCTAGTCTATAGTCTAGTCTATAGTCTAGTCTATAGTCTAGTCTATAGTCTAGTCTATAGTCTGGTCTATAGTCTAGTCTATAGTCTAGTCTATATTTTAGTCTATAGTTTAGTCTACAGTCTAGTCGATAGTCTATAGTCTAGTCCATAGTCTAGTCTATAGTCTTGTCTATAGTCTAGTCTATAGTCTAGTATATAGTTTACTCTATAATCTAGTCTATAGTCTAGTCTATAGTCTAGTCTATAGTCTAGTCTATAATCTAGTCTATAGTCTAGTCTATAGTCTAGTCTATAGTCTAGTCTAGTCTATAATCTAGTCTATAGTCTAGTCTATAGTCTAGTCTATAGTCCAGTCTATAGTCTAGTCTATAGTCTAGTCTATAGTCTAGTCAATAGTCTATAGTTATAGTTATAGCCTATTGTCTAGTCTATTGCCTAGTATAGTAAAATTGTGCTAAAAAATTGGCAACACTGGTCTGTTGTGTAATATGAAAAATTGAATTAATTTTTTTTTTCTTTTTTAGATTTTAAGCTTCAAAAGTTTTCGGACTCCATTAAGGATTGTGAGGAGTGTATTAGGTTGGAGCCCTCAAATTTAAAAGCTCGTCTGCGTCTGGCAGAGGCTAATTATGCATATGGCAGGAAAAGAGAGGTAACGGTGTTTTAATAGAAATATGTATATTTTCTGCCAAGACATTTTAAATATGAAAATGTACTTTTTAATTTTTTAAAATTTTTTTCAAATTTGACCAGTAAAAAATTTGCTCTTAACATTTTCACAGTCCTATCAACTTTACATCAATGTCCTTCAAATGGATGCCGAAAATTCTGTGGCCCTTAAAGCCATTACCGAATTACGTAAACAATTCGAAGATTTGCCCCCACCTAATGCCACACGTCTAAAAATACAAGATGAATCATCCAAAACTAAAACAGCAATAATAAAGGAAGTCCCTAAGCCCCAACCAAAGCCGAAAGCAAAAGAATACGATTTAGCCGAATTGGTTAAACCAAATCGTTTGGTTAAAAATAAATTTATTAAAGCAGCCGAAACTTTGGGTAAAAATATGCAAAACACGAAAGAAAATAAAAATATTCCCCAAAAGAAGGATCCAAAAGAAAATAAGAAACAAACGCAAATACGACTACCCGGTACATATCCAGTCAATGCTGAGTTGAAAGGTAGAAAACTTATACAAGAACTTTAAAAATCGAGTTTATTTTAAAATTTTAAAAATTATGTTTAATAAAAATATTTTATATAAAATTATACTAAAATGGAATTCATTTGCGCTGCGCTAACACCTTTTGAATATAAGCGCCCACTATATTGAAAGGTCTTTGTTCGAAATCATGTTTTTGTTCTTTGGTAATTTTTATCTGATCTCCTTCAAAACGATTTATTAGTGTAACACAGATATCGGCTGCCTTAACACCCACATGTTTGGTTAGTGATGAAAACATGGTGGCTTCCATTTCAATATTGCGTATACCTTTATTGTAACATTGTTGTATAAATGCCATTTTATCATTTTCGGTATAATGACAACTGGAACCATCTAGACGTCCTTGACCTGGTGTTATAGTTATAGGAGTTATAGTTGTTTTAAAAGTTATTTTCCTCAAAATTACCTTCATAAAAACACTCTGCACCCATTGTATTGCCCAATACAACATTATAGTCAAAAGATCCTTTTGAACATTCCAAAAGTTCTTGAGCTAGTGTAGGGTCAAAGTTGGCAGGTCGCACAATTCTTTGGCCCAAAATGGCCTGGTAAAAAGAAGTGTTTAATAAAAATTATAAATAGCAAAACTAATGGGATTAGGGAGCTGACCCTGACACATTTCTCCCTTATAAAAATACTTACGAGTTCATGTTCATTTCTCAAATAACCATTATAAGCATCTTTAGTGATAACAACGGTACCCGGTTCCACACCAATACCGCCACTTGTGCCCAAACGTATAAATATGGGATCCTGACATTTAGCATAATACACTAGTTTTAAAAGTTCATGTAAAACTACACTCATAGTGCTCATACCAACACCGTGAGAGCAACACAAAACTGGACCCACCTTTATAAAAGAAATTTCGATAAAGAGAATTTACACTTTCTTTATTACAAAAGTAAAACAAACCTTAAAGATGGCATAACGATTACCGGCAGCACTTATATCGATAAATTCTTTAGTTTTATTTTCAGGTTCTAGTAGGCCACGCAGATATTTGGCCAAATCGAGCATACGATTTCTAGTGCCACCCATGCAAACAAACTGGAGAGAAATAAAGTGGTTCAAGAACAACAGAACCATTGATGTTTATATAATGGTTAATGTTAAAATGGGGTTTCTATTCTTAAACAATCTTAAATGAATATGTGAGAATGAAGACCTTGAACACGAATTAATTTCTAATGAATATTAACCCTACAAAGTTCTTAATTTTGAACTTGTTTACGATATTATGATGATTTTTATACAATACCTTAACGTCGCCAAATCGTTGTTGTATATCAGTTGTATCTTTAGTATCCGGTATATTTATATCTATATGATACAAGAAATCTGATTTCATTTTATCCAAATTGGGATTTTTTAATGTTGCTACACTAAAATGGGTAATACTTGTTTTATTTTAATAAAATTTTAAATACAAGTTATAATAAACTTACCCAGAGTTGGACATATTTGACATTTAAAGATCTGAAAAGATAAAAAAATTTTTAAATTAATAGAGAACAGAGACAAAACAAATTCACACAGTGCGGTAGAATAACATTTTTTGAAAATAAATTTCTATACATTTCTAAACGGTTGGTCCTATCGGAGTAAAATTTGACATGGACGAAGTCAAGGAGTATTGGAGATTAAGTTTGGAAATTACTCCAATTTTTATATTTTCTAACTTTTTCTAACTTTCCTTTTATCTTTTATAATTTCCGAGTTATAGTCATTTTAATCAAAATATAAATTTTGACTTACCTCAGAACAGAAGGTTGAACTGAACTAGAACAGAACTAGAACTGAACTAGAACTGATCTAGAACTGGAACTAGACTGAACTAGCAACCTGAACTAGAACTGGAACAAGAACTGAACAAGAACTGAACTAAGAACTGAACTAGAACTGAAACTAGAAACTTGAACTAAGAACATGAACTAGAACTGAACTAGAACTGAACTAGAACTAAACTAGAACTGAATCTAGACTGAACTAGGTACTGAACTAGAGAACTGAACTAGAACTGAACTAGAACTGAACTAGAACTGAACTAGAAACTGAACTAAGAACTGAACTAGTAACTGAACTAGAAACTGAACTAGAACTGAACTAGAACTGAAGACTAGAACTGAACTAGAACTGAACTAGAACTGAACTAAGAACTGAACTAGAACTGAACTAGAGAACTGAACTGAACTGAACTAGAAACTGAACTAGAACTGAACGAGAAGCTGAACTAAGAACTGACTAGAACTGAACTAGAACTGAACTAGAAACTGAACTAGAAACTGAACTAGAACTGAACTAGAACTGAACTAGAACTGAACTAGAACTGAACTAAGAACTGAAACTAGAACTACAGAACTAGAACTGAACTAGAACTGAACTAGAACTGAACTAGAACTGAACTAGAACTGAACTAGAACTGAACTAGAACTGAACTAGAACTGAACTAGAACTGAACTAGAACTGGACTAGAACTGAACTAGAACTGAACTAGAACTGAACTAGAACTGAACTAGAACTGAACTGAACTGGAACTGAACTAGAACTGAACTAGAACTGAACTAGAACTGAACTAGACTGACTACTGAACTAGAACTGAACTAGAACTGAACTAGAACTGAACTAGAACTGAACTAGAACTGAACTAGAACTGAACTAGAACTGAACTGAACTAGAACTGAACTAGAACTGAACTAGAACTGAACTAGAACTGAACTAGAACTGAACTAGAACTGAACTAGAACTGAACTAGAACTGAACTAGAACTGAACTAGAACTGAACTAGAAACTGAACTAGAACTGAACTAGAACTGAACTAGAACTGAACTAGAACTGAACTAGAACTGAACTAGAACTGAACTAGAACTGAACTAGAACTGAACTAGAACTGAACTAGAACTGAACTAGAACTGAACTAGAACTGAACTAGAACTGAACTAGAACTGAACTAGAACTGAACTAGAACTGAACTAGAACTGAACTAGAACTGAACTAGAACTGAACTAGAACTGAACTAGAACTGAACTAGAACTGAACTAGAACTGAACTAGAACTGAACTAGAACTGAACTAGAACTGAACTAGAACTGAACTAGAACTGAACTAGAACTGAACTAGAACTGAACTAGAACTGAACTAGAACTGAACTAGAACTGAACTAGAACTGAACTAGAACTGAACTAGAACTGAACTAGAACTGAACTAGAACTGAACTAGAACTGAACTAGAACTGAACTAGAACTGAACTAGAACTGAACTAGAACTGAACTAGAACTGAACTAGAACTGAACTAGAACTGAACTAGAACTGAACTAGAACTGAACTAGAACTGAACTAGAACTGAACTAGAACTGAACTAGAACTGAACTAGAACTGAACTAGAACTGAACTAGAACTGAACTAGAACTGAACTAGAACTGAACTAGAACTGAACTAGAACTGAACTAGAACTGAACTAGAACTGAACTAGAACTGAACTAGAACTGAACTAGAACTGAACTAGAACTGAACTAGAACTGAACTAGAACTGAACTAGAACTGAACTAGAACTGAACTAGAACTGAACTAGAACTGAACTAGAACTGAACTAGAACTGAACTAGAACTGAACTAGAACTGAACTAGAACTGAACTAGAACTGAACTAGAACTGAACTAGAACTGAACTAGAACTGAACTAGAACTGAACTAGAACTGAACTAGAACTGAACTAGAACTGAACTAGAACTGACTAGAACTGACTAGAACTGAACTAGAACTGAACTAGAACTGAACTAGAACTGAACTAGAACTGAACTAGAACTGAACTAGAACTGAACTAGAACTGAACTAGAACTGAACTAGAACTGAACTAGAACTGAACTAGAACTGAACTAGAACTGAACTAGAACTGAACTAGAACTGAACTAGAACTGAACTAGAACTGAACTAGAACTGAACTAGAACTGAACTGAACTAGAACTGAACTAGAACTGAACTAGAACTGAACTAGAACTGAACTAGAACTGAACTAGAACTGAACTAGAACTGAACTAGAACTGAACTAGAACTGAACTAGAACTGAACTAGAACTGAACTAGAACTGAACTAGAACTGAACTAGAACTGAACTAGAACTGAACTAGAACTGAACTAGAACTGAACTAGAACTGAACTAGAACTGAACTAGAACTGAACTAGAAACTAGAACTGAACTAGAACTGAACTAGAACTGAACTAGAACTGAACTAGAACTGAACTAGAACTGAACTAGAACTGAACTAGAACTGAACTAGAACTGAACTAGAACTGAACTAGAACTGAACTAGAACATAATTAGAACTGAACTAGAACTGAACTAGAACTGAACTAGAACTGAACTAGAACTGAACTAGAACTGAACTAGAACTGAACTAGAACTGAACTAGAACTGAACTAGAACTGAACTAGAACTGAACTAGAACTGAACTAGAACTGAACTAGAACTGAACTAGACTGAACTAAACTGAACTAGAACTGAACTAGAACTGAACTAGAACGGAACTAGAACTGAACTAGATCTGAACTAGAACTGAACTAGAACTGAACTAGAACTGAACTAGAACTGAACTAGAACTGAACTAGAACTGAACTAGAACTGAACTAGACTGAACTAGAACTGAACTAGAACTGAACTAGAACTGAACTAGAACTGAACTAGAACTGAAACTAGAACTGAACTAGAACTGTAACTAGAACTGAACTAGAACTGAACTAGAACTGAACTAGAACTGAACTAGAATTGAACTAGATCTAAATAAGGGTCGAGAATATATGTACGTTTGTGCGTTTGGGACCAATATTTCAAAGTGTTACATACGGAATGACAAAATCAATAAATAGTTGGAATAAATAGTTAAATAAAGAAATAATCACAATTTAAAGGGGAACATTAGACACTCTATGAAAAATTTTATATATTTTAAATGTCGATGTAAAACTATCTTTAGTATTCAATATTCTGAAATTATTTTATGAATAATATTACAAAAAGTCTTGGTTAAAACATTAACAAAACGATG